CTCAAAAAAAAAAAAAAAAAGAGCATTTGCAGGGTGGAATTAAAATATAAGCCATCTCTCAAATAATCTGCACTTTGAGACCTCAAAGTGATTTACGATTGCAAAATCACTTGGAGCATCCATTTTATATAATTCAGAACAAAGAAAGCAAGCACTGCTTAACTTTTTCTTGATCCTACAGCTCATTACTACAAGACAAGACACCACTCTCCAAGAACTGATTGATAACCATGGTTCTAAGACATCAAACTTGTCGACAAACTCAGAATACTTTTCAACAGGATTTCTACAGATTAGACAGAAACAGAAGTCTGGCAGTGAACCTGTAACTGACTGAACTCATTACAGCTGCACCTCCCCTTCCCCACTGCTGTAACTTCAAGTCAACCTCAACAGCACTGAGCTGGGCTCTCCACAACCCGTGCCCTCTACGCCCAAACAAAGCAGATCACGGTGTGATATGTAACACCATGATCATATCACAACCCTACTGGACGTTCATGAATGGCTGTATAACCTAAAGTTTTCAAGACCTTTAGGTTCAGATGTAAGTAAACTTACAGAAAAGGAAAACAGTTTCCTACTTTTTGTTTTGCCAATGAAGGGCTTTTTTTAAATAGCTAGCTGCCAGCAACTATTACTACCATTTCATTAAAGGGACATTTTAATACAACAAAGGCAGGAGAGACGACTCTTATTCAACAAAGGCAGCAATGGCAACCCTCCAAAATCATTTTCATTTTGGACCAGCCTACTTTTGGAGACCACTGACTTCTTAGATGAAACAAAAACCTTCTGAAATATTCAAAGTCCTTGATGAACATGCTCTCAACATTTAAAATTCATTATCAATTATTAAATTTACCAGACACATACCTGAAAGACCGTGAAGCCAAGATAATATTCAATAAGAATGCAGCCTATGCTCCAAACATCACAAGGCTGAGACCAACCTAAAGCTATTTAAAAACAAATAGAAACACTTTATATGCAACTACTTTCAACTGACACATTAAATCCTTCCCTATATGGGTGCTCCCTTTCCATGGCCCACTTGGGAGAATGTCAGCAAACTCAGGGCGTACATTTTTAGTTTTACATCAAATATTATTCAGTATTCTCTCATGGCCCCATATGCACACACCAAGATACAGTATTTATTTATGTAAAATAAAAGGGGGAATAGCAGATGTATTCCAACTAGAACAATCAACTGATACAGATATTCCAGTCTCTGAACTGCTCGTGCAATAGGGGAGGAGTTTGGTTGTTCTGTTATACTTAATTCATGATTGGTCCAGAATTTCCACATTTTATTAGTGCAAATACAGGTTTTTAATTATCCTTAAGATGAAATTACGAATTCCTTATCATTGGCTTGATGGATGGGTTTACTTTATCCATCAGGAGAAACACTATTGTTTTGCACAAATTATATAAAAATTAAAGTGGGAATTATAAAGTTTCCCCTATAAGCAAAAATGACAGACATTTAAGTGCACACAAACAGGACCTATGTACATACTTCAGGCTTCTATATGTGATCATAAGCACTTTCTCCTTCAGAATTCTCAATGCAACATTACTCAGCAGAGAATAAAACACCTAGCCTTCTTAAGTCTACACTTAACTAGCAAGGAGAAGTGCAAACCATACAGATGTTTTTCTCTTTTAAAGAGAAAATATTTAATAAAATGTCATATAAATAAAACCTACAGACACTTCAATTACTTTCAGTAACATCACTGAAATTAAAGATAAAGGAAAATATATATTCAAGGGTCTTAACTGTGACTCAGTCATGTCTGCTAACCCTACAGTGCCTATCATCTGAACGAATGAATGCAGGAGTATGATTTCTACTATATTAGCACATACAAAAGCTATCATTGCTATAGCGTGGACCTCAGATAAAGGTCTTCTTTTCACCCACACCTGCCTCCCAATCCAGCTTTCTCCCAGGACTGTGACCGTCTGCAGCACACCATCCGAAGTCATCCCATTCCTGGAAGAGTTAGCTCTCACCCTTGACACGAGACCAACTGTCCTCCTCAGCTGTGGCAAGTGACTACACCTTCCTCCCCAACCCAATTCGCCTCCACCCTCAGACACTCCACAAACACACACGGGCCCCTTGTAGGCTCCCCATCTCCTGACTCCTTTTCCTCAAGGTCAGTGACTCTAACCTCAGATTTATTATCAACTATCCCTTGCCTGGCCACATTGGAACTACAGAGTAGGAACTCAGAGTTACTATATCTCACTCAATCTGGGATACCATTAACTTTAAGTTGTGCCACCATTTTACACACTGATAAAAAAAGGCCAATTATTTTGTGTTGTGTTCCTCGTGTTACAATGTGGGGGAAGACCTGCATCTTAAGACACAGGAATGTGCTTCCTTTTAAGCTCTGAGAAGACCCCTCTAGTTTCTTCCCCTACTTCTTTTTTTATACCCTTGGGAACTGTCAGTCCTCAGCCAGGCCCATTGCTTTCACACTACTGCCACTCGGCAGCTCCTTTCAGGCTGCACTAGAAGAAAATTTGACTATCTTGCACTTCAAAGACAAGCTCTGGAGCCGTGCTTTCCCAATATGGTCATCACTAGCCACATGTGGCTGCTTAAGTCTCAATTAATACAAAAATTCAAAATTCAGTTTCTCAGTCGCAACCGCCAAACTCCAGGTACTCAGTCGCCCACAGGAGCTACTGACTACCCTAGGGAACAGAGCAGAAATGGAGCGTGTCCATCACTGAGGCAAGTTCCGCAGGGCTGCAGAACATTCATTTCCCTACCCTTTTACCAATCCTCTACTCTAGGTAATAACATTAGTTTGCTTTCACACTCCTATTCTGAAGCACTAGGTCCTGTTGGACACACATAAAAAAAGTAAAAGTAAAAATATCTAGCTAGGCCGGGCTCAGTGGCTCAGCCTGTAATCCCGCGCCTTTGGGAGGCTGAGGTAAGTGGATTGCCTGAGCCCGCGGGTTTGAGACCCGCCTGGGCAGGCGAGACCTCATCTCTACAATAAATCAAAAAATCAGCCGGGCATGGTAGTGCGCGCCTGTAATTGCGGCTATTCGGAAGGCTGAGGCGGAAGGATCGCCAGAGCCCAGCAGGTCGAGGCTGCGGTGGCTGGGAGCGGCCACTGCATTCCAGTGGCGACCCAGTGAGACTCCAACTCAAAAAAAAAAAAAAAAAAAAAAAGAAACATCTAGCTAGGGGCAGTGGCTCACACCTATAATCCCAGCACTTTGGGAGGCTGACAGAGAGGATCACTTGACCCCAAGAGTTTAAGACCAGCCTAAGCAACATAACAAAACCCCATCTCAACAAAAAAAACCCAAATGGGCCAGGCATGGTGGCACATGCCTGCAGTCCCAGCTCCAGAAGGACTGCCTGAGCCCAGGAGTTTGAGGCTGTGGTGAGGTATGATCATGCCACTGCACTCTAGTCTACGTGACAAAGTGAGATTCCAACTCAAAAAAAAAAAAAAAAAAAAAAAATAGCTAAAGCATCTGATTCCACAAAAATGTTTAACTCTTTACCCTCAGCTGGACCTTGTTTTTGGGTGAGCAATCAGCTTGCTCCACTCACCTACCTCTCAACCTGAACTTTCCCCACTGTCTCCAAGCCCCCACTCCCCAACTTCTCTGCTCTATTAATCCAATCTCTAACTTTTAATTCTGAGGCTTAAGATGTACGCTCCCTTTTAAGTTCCTTGTCTTTCAGTCCTCTGCACCAACTCACTTTCTTCCCCAGACTTTCTCCTATCAAGGGTCATCGCGGAAGCTCTCCTCTCAAAGCCCCTTTCTTCTCTCTTGACCTTCAGTACCCTATATATCTAGATGTCTGCCAACCTAACAGTTTCCTCAGCATTTCTGCTAGTTCCTTCCTTTTGTGATGACACAAAAACAGACACTGAATTAACTTCAAAGTCACACGCTGTGATGTACTTAGCTAACAGAACTGGTTCTCTTAGGATCACTGAAGATTAACTTGTTATGAACTACCTTTCACAGACAGTATCATTTTTACCAATCAAGAAAAATATTTATAGCAATGGCTACATATTGTTTGTGAAAACAGAAAACGTTTTCTGAATCTGCTAAGATTGTGCTTCCCACCACCCCGTAATAGCTGTAAAGAGCAAAAATCTCTTCTTCAATTACAGTATCTAGAAAGACTGGTATCTACTGACCCAGAATGACCTCGGGAGCTCTGTAGTGCCGGGTAGACACCAAAGTACTGTGATGCTCATCATCGTATGTTGCACTTCCAAAGTCCACAACTTTGATGTCTGTGCTTTTCAGTGTGCGTTCATCACGTTTCTGGAGAAACATAGTTGAGCAGACACAAAACTCAATAAACACATGAAATATTTTATAGCACTATTCAAAAGGTTTGCACATGAATTATGTGATGTCAAAATAAGCCCAGGAGAAAAGCAAAAAAGGATTACTCCTTTTGTTTGAACATCAGGATACAATGAGGCTCCGAAGTGAAATTCCTCATTCAAGGATCAGAAAGCTAAATTAGTATTAAAAACACAAATTAAAACAAGTATCTAACTTACCATTTTAGAATTATACTTGACTACATAGTCAGACTTCACAAATAAAATATTTTCAGGCTTCAGATCTGTATGAGTTAGTTTATTATGATGCAAAACTACAAGGAAACAAAAAAACATTTTTAGCTTCACTTACAAACTTAATTTGTACTGGCAGAGAAAAGGGGATTAGCAGTGGATATCGTGGTCAACAGAGGTTTTATCTTTACCTGCAAAATGTGTGTTTTTAGTGACAATGTTTTGATATGTTGCTTATATAATAAAACACTTAAATGTTCTGGTGTTTAAATATTTATCAAGTATACTTACAGTTTATCGATTGGCAGATCTGATATGCCATCTGCCTGATGTGGTCAATTTGAAATGGCAGAAAGCTGTTTTCTTTAATGAAATCATAGGTACTCAGTCCCAGCAGTTCAAACACAATACAAACATGACCATGATGATCAAACCATTCTAGCATCTGGACACATCGGCTAAAATAGAGCAAAAAAATAATTCAGTTGACAGAATTCTGATTACTTCATGTAAAATGATGGTTCATAGTTCAAATATGTACTTACAAGACATTATTGGGATCAGTACTATTTAAATGCTCCAATACTTGGATTTCTGAACGAGCTGCTTCACGGTAACGGCCTACATTTTTTACGATTTTCACTGCTACATGCATGCCATCCCTTAAAAACAAAATAAAGAAGAAAATGGTAAATGTACATGGGAAAACTGAAGCCATGTAGCCTCTAAAGCATAATCTTAATTGCCAATTTCTTTATGCTATTTTTCTAAAATAATCTTTCCAAGCACATTAGACTATATGAAAAAATATAGTTTATATGAATTGATGATTCCCTTAATACTTATGAATCTCAGTGTTTATTCCCAGAATTTTAAATTCACCTATATTTTATACAATAAAAGTTAAAAAAAAAAAGAAACAGGGCAACCCTCTCGGGTCCCCTCTCACTATGGGAGCTTTTCTGTTCTCTCAATAAATCCTCCTTTAAAAAAAAAAAAAAAAGAAACAAAGAATATACTACTGTTGAAAGCATTCACTCATTCTCCAGGCTAGACCCACTCTGTGCCAGACAGTACATAGGTATTAGTGATGAAAAGACAGGGCATGTCTCTACATCCCATAAGTCTAATGGGAAAGACAGACATATGACCAACTGAGACCTCTTCACAGAAGAGGTGGCTCAGAACTGAGTTCCGAAAAATAGCTATGAGTTTGTCAGACTGGAAGTGTAATATCCAGGAGAAGGAGACACCAACTATAAGCCATGAAGCCAAGAAAACCCATGTTTACTTATGACTTTGTTTGCACATTCACTGATGCAAGTGTGTAGAAACAAACCACATGCAGAGCAGTGGGCATTAGATTGGAGCATCTGGAAGAATGCTTCCTAAAATGTATAAAGCCATAAATGATTTTGAGAAAGTCGATTTTCAAATCTTCAACTTCCTGGTATCCTCTTTTCTAAATCTAATTTGCCTGGAAATGAGTCAGCATTCAAGTCTCATTTTTTCACCCTGGCCCTTCCTTCCACTTTACAAAAGAAAAGAAAATCTTACCAATATCCCTTATTTGTACAGTAAGATGTATGCCCTCTGCTATGAAAAAGTATTTGGGGCAAACACACACATGTATTCTAACAGCAGGTTAATAAACCTTTTCCCACTTCCAGTAGTTTCCAATGTATTGCTTTCATAAGGTCCCTGATAAATCAGTTTTTAAATTGCTGCTGTTTGGCATATATCTCTCAAGACTTAAAAGAACTGTTATAAAATTACTTTGGGAGGCAGAGGTGAGCGGATTGCCTGAGCCCATTGGTTCGAGAACAGTCTGGGCAACTCGGCAAGACCTCATCTCTACAATAAATCAAAAAATTAGCCGGGTGTGGTAGCACATGCCTGTAGTTCCAGCTACTTGAAAGGCTGAGGCAGAAGGATCGCCGGACCCCAGCAGGTCAATGCTAGGTGGCCGTGAGCATGCCACTGCACTCCAGGCCTGGGCGATGGAGACTCCAACTCAAAAAAACAAAAACAAAAACAAATTCCACCTACCTATTTAATTATATGAACAAAAGTTTTCTCAGTGTTTATATCTATAAAAATGAAAAAAGAAAAATAACAATGCTAAACAGTGAGATATTTATCTATGGATACATGTACTAGTTTTTTTGAACTCCCGCCATCTCAATAAAATACCTTCTGCCAGTTACAGTGGCTCACACCTGTAATCCCAGCACTTTGGAAGGTAGGGACGAGAGGATTGCCTAAACTCAGAAGTTCTTGATCAACCTGGGCAATTTGATGATACCTCATCTCTAAAATAAGTTAAAAAATTAGCTGGCCATGGTGGCATGTGCCTGTAGTTGGAAGGATGAAGCGGAAGAAACACCTGAGTCCAGGAGGTTGAGGCTGCAGGAGCCGTGAGTGCGCCACTACACTCCAGCATGGGTGACATTGAGACTCCAACTCAAAAAATAGAAAATAAAGATACATCCCCCAAATATTTCATTTTAGGTCTAATAAGTATAAAAATTTGTAACATATTTGTACTTTGACCAACTGAATATCATTATTTGGAATAACTTGATGAAATAATTAGAGACAGAATCTCAGAAAATTTTAAAAGGATTAATGGGACAAGTGGTGAAATGTGAATAAACTCTATAAATTAGCTGGCAAAATTTGAAAATGTGTATGCATACATATAATGATAAAAGCAGATATTACAAGATGTTAACATTTGGAAAATCTGGTTGAAGGTTAATATGGGAATTCTTTGAACTATTTTATCAACTTTTCTGTAGGTCTGAAAATATTTCAAAATTATTTAAAAATTCAATTTATGTTAACATTTCTGTTGCAGAGAAAAAAGATAATTTAGGATAATATTCTTTTTTTGTTTTTTGAGTCAGGGTCTCACTCTGTCACCTAGGCTATAGTGCAGGAGTGCAATCCTGGCTCCTCGCAGCCTCAAACTCCTAGGTTCAAACTATACTTCCGCCTCAGTCTCCTGAGTAGCTGGGACTACAAGTGTGCACCACCACACCCAGCTATTTTTCTATTTTTTGTAGAGACAAGGTCTCATTATGTTGCCCAGGCTGGTCTTGAACTCCTGGGCTCAAGCAATCCTTCATCTTGGCCTCCCGAAATGCTGGGATTATAGTGAAATGAAAATAAGTTTGAGAACATTTTTGAGGATTCAAAAAGAGCTTACACATGAATTATGGTAGGTGTCAAGCTGCTACAGCATTTAGATTCCCTCTAATATATTTAAAGAGTTCTATTCTATTTTTTGAGTTGGAGTCTTACTTTGTCGCCCAGACTGGAGTGCAGTGGCATGCTCACGGCCTCTCCCAGTGTCAAACTGCTGGGCTCCGGTGATCCTTCTGCCTTAGTCTTCCAAGTAACCGGAACTATAGGTGCATGCTACCATGCCTGGCTTTTTTTTTCTTTAATAATTTATTGTAGAGACAAGGTCTCGCCAAGTTGCCCAGGCTGGTCTCAAACCCACGGACTCAGGCTATCCACTCGCCTCGGTCTCCCAAAGTGCTGGGCTTACAGGCTGAGCCACCAAGCCCAGCTGAGTTTTATTCTTTAATATTAAATGTTTATAGTAGGTTGGAAACTACATCCTTTCCAACTACTTTATTTATTTATTTATTTTTGAGTTGGAGTCTCACTCTGTCACCCAGACAGGAATGCAGTGGCCGCTCCCAGCCACTGTAGCCTCGACTTGCTGGGCTCCGGCAATCCTTCCACCTCAGCCTCCCAAGTAGCTGGAACTACAGGCACGTGCTACCATGCCTGGCTAATTTTTGATTTATTGTAGAGATGAGGTCTCACCAAGTTGTCCAGGCAGGTCTTGAACCCACTGGCTCAGGCAATCCACTCACCTCAGCCTCCCAAAGAGCTGGGATCACAGGCTGAGCCACCAAGCCCAGCTCCAACTACTTTACAATAAAAAGTTTTAGAGTCATTTTAGAAATGTGCACTTTCACCACATTGTTTTAAGAGGCTTACTTACAAAAATGTTTGTATACCACAGAACAGAAATCCTGGAGAAAAATGGTAAAATGAGGCAGAAAGGGTTCAAATCACAAAGGGCCCCATTAAAGAATTTAAACTTTATTCTGCAGGTCTCAAGGATACAATTTCTTTATAGTTGAGGAAGCTAACTCTAACATGTAAGATTAGACATGCTTTTACTGCCTGTGTGATCCAAAATAGCTGACTCTTATAGAGGGCCAAGGGCTTAAGTTCTGGAAAATGCTTTCAGTTGAGCACCAACTTTAATTTCAATGATTTACGCCATCTGATAAAACATGTCAATATTCTTGATCAAAATCCACATTCAAGGTAAATAAATCATACACAATTCAAGAAATTTTGCTGATATTTATACCTTCCAAAAAAACATGTGGTTACCACTTAAAATATACTTCACCTAAACTATGGCTCCTTCCCCACCAAAACTATCAGAATTTTCAGAAAAGAAAAATAATAAATAAACTTACATGCCATGATCAATGCACTCTACAACTTTGCCAAAAGCCCCTTCACCCAAAGTGTCCACGATTTCATCTAAAGTGAGGGGGGGAGAAAGAGGTGTAAGTATCTGAGTATAAATTATCTAGTTATTCAAACAATGAATGCTTAAGTGTGGAATATTTTCAAATGATCTTTATCAAAGCATAACTAAGGTTTCAGCACTCAAATTATGTTATTTTCAGCAGCTACAAAAACAATTAGATAGAGCTATCTTTCTTGCTCTAATCTCAAATTCCACTGATTATTTTTGAACTTTAGAATAGAAATATTTAAATTCTACAGAAAAGAAGAAATACAAAAGAACAAACAAACCCACAAAAAACAAAACAAAAAGCAATGAAGAGTTCTTTAGCCCCCCGCTGACAAACTATTCTTTAAAAGATTATTCTGTCTGCAAAGTTTAAAAAGTGTTGAAAAATATTCTATACATCTTGCTCTTAGAACGTCTCCACTTTGACAGATCAGGTGACCCTCCTCATCATCCTCTATACTCCTGGGTCTTTTCCTTCGGTGGCTCTTCTGGAACGGCAAGTGGGCAGCACCAAGATCGTCCAGCCAATCAATATATCAGAGTGAATTCAGGGTAGAATACGCAATTCATTCAGCGGGGAGATATTCAGGCATTCAGATAAGCACCAGGCCACGAACAGTTGGCAGGAGCAATTTCAAATTCAGTCCCCAGAAATTCACAGGGCACAGTTTATGTTACAGAAGAAAAACATGGCAAGGAACAGATTTTCAGATAAGATACTTCAAGTGGCAATAGAAAAAAACAACACAATTGTCTCTTTAAAATACTGATTTAATTGAAGTCTGAAATATAAAGAATGCAATGTCATGATTTACTAATCTCTTGCTATACATAGCATATGCTGTGAATTGAGATGTCTAGTTTGTCAGAAGAATGTTTTAAAATGTCATGATTAGTTGAACTTGTTCTAATAGCAGTATTTTTAAATATACGTGACTAAAAGAAAAGGGGAAATAAGGCTAATATTACTGTTCAATCTAATAAAAGCTAGTTCTACTGAAGAAAACTTAGTGAGAAAAACATTAATTCAAAGTTTACTAATCAAACAGGTAGATGTCTGAGTGTTAAAAAAAATGGGGCAGGTTTTTTTGTATACTATATTTCCTATTCAGCACCCATTTTCACAATTTTAAAAGAATTAGTTGCAGACAACGATGCACTGTGCCATGGAACTATGCTACACACCAGTTAATAACATTCATGTATCCACCAGTGCAATTTTCTGTATTTGTTTCCAGGTATCAGGAAAGGGGTTTTTTCAAAGTAAAAAAGTATTTAAGATGAAAGATGGGTGCATCATTTTTTCATAATATGCTATTATAGACACAAAAATATTTTTCTTATTAAAATCAACAAACTTATAATCTGCTGTGCAGAATATGAGTAAATGTGGGCAAATAAGGGCTAGCTAATAAACATACAGATCAGCTATGAGAATCTGGACGTTTCCTTTAAGGATTTAAGCAAAAGAAACACAATTATAATATATCCAAGTAGTATAAAATCATTTAGAAACTTATCAGCTCATTAAGAGTTTACACTCAATAAGAATCCACTCAAAATAAAAACGAAATCAATCATACCGAATGTGACTGATGACTTGAACAGTGTCTATTGTGCTGTCTTTTAGGACTGCTTCTCCTGCTGCGGACTGAAGACTTACTGCAGTGGATCCGGTAACTGCTCTCAATGTCTCTGTGATAATGTCTAGGAACATATCCTTCACAATAGTCATTCCTGTACTCATCAACGTATCTCCGGTCCCGACAGTCTCTCTCATTCAAGGATCTTGCTTCTAAGTAATGGCTGCAAATACATTAAAGAGCTTCAAATTATTCTCTTCATTTTGGAATAATGTGGTTCAAACAAAACATTCTCAAGAATTCTTCAGATGAACAAAAGAAAAGCAATTCAACTGAAGAATCAGAATTTATATCCATCTCCCAAAGCTTAGTAATTTTACTTTAACAAACAAGCAATTGGAGCCATCATATAGATTACTGTCAAGCACTTCACACCAAAGACCAAAGCTAGAGTCAAATCATTAATTTACTTTACTAAGTGTTCCTTTACCATCTCGGAGAAAGTTAAAAAGCCAAAAAATGCACAAAATTGCTGTTCTGAAACTCACTGGTCTTAGGATATATGCATTTGTAACTAAGTTTTCTTCTCCCAGAAGCACACACAGAGACAGGCAAAGCAGGTTTCCTTTTTTTGAGTCCAAGTTTCACCCTGTTGCCCAGGCTTGGAATGCTGTGGCACGCACACAGCCAGTGCAGCTTCAACCAGGTGGGCTCAGGCAATCCTTCTGTCTCAGCCTTCCAAGTAGCTGGAACTACAGGCGTGAGCCACCATGCCCGCTAATTTTTTTGATTTATTGCAGAGATGAGGTATTGTCAAGTTGTCCAGGCTGGTCTCAAACCCATGGGCTCAAGCAATCCTCTCGCCTCCACCTCCCAAAGTGCTGGGATTACAGGCGGGAGCCATTGCACCCGGCTCCTTTCTCAAGTGCATTTTAGATATCCCTGGCAAATAAGGGAATTCCTTCATGAAAGCTGCATTAGAGCTATAAGAAGCTTTAGATGTATCCCAGCTCTTTCATGTTTACTGGAGACTAAATTAGGATCCCTAGAAGGAAAATGATTTGCTACGGTTACAGAGCACATTAGAGAAAAAAACTGAAATATTTTCTAACTGCTATTATACAGGCCAATTTTATTACATACATCACCTAACCTGCCTCCTCTCCTCTTTGCATCTCTAGCCTGTCATTCTTGTTTGAGGAATAAACAACATAGCTTTTGAGGACCTCGTGTGCCAGAAACACCTAAAATTAATATCCCCCTAAAATAAGAAAGTAATTCTGTAATTGCTTGCCTAGGATTACAACAGTCCCACTATCCCTCCCTTTACATTTCTAATTTCCTATAATTCCTGCTTGAGAAAATATACAATACAATAAAAAAAGATCACTTAGCGCCTTAATGCTTGAATCTATAGATCCCTTGGAGAATCCAATGAAAACTACAGACCCTCTTCCCCCAAAAACACAAATGTATAAGTAAAACTTGGCGAGGAATGTCATAGAGTTCATGGACCTTAGAAAGCCAATGGAGCCGGGCTCAGTGGCTCAGCCTGTAATCCCGCGACTTTGGGAGGCTAAGGTGAGTAGATTTCCTGAGCCCGCGGGTTCGAGACCCACCTGGGCAACTTGGCGAGACCTCATCTCTACAATCAATCAATCAATAAATAAATAAATAAATAAGCCGGGCGTGGTAGCACGCACCTGTAGTTCCAGCTACTTGGAAGGCTGAGGCGGAAGGATTGCCGGAGCCCAGCAGGTTGAGGCTGCGGTGGTGGGGAGCGCCCACTGCACTCCAGTCTGGGTGACAGAGTAAGACTCCAACTCAAAAAAAATAAAAATAAAAAAGTCTGTAGGAAGGGAGTCTAATTCACAGGCTGCCTCCAAAAGACAAATCAGAAAGAAAAGACACTTTGCAATATATATGACAAATGATTAAAATAATGTAATGAAAGGCCCTTCTAAGTCAGTGAAAAAAAAATACATTTCAATAGAATGCATAGGTTAACAATTTTTTAAAAAGTCCTATAAATGACAGTGGGTAAATTTACTTCAAATTTAAAAATTCTAATTAAACAAAGCACTATCCTTGGCCTTCCAAAACAGCCAAGATTGGTGAGAGCACGAAGAAACACGTTGCAGAATATAATTTGGCACAAACTTGCCAAAAAAAGAAACTTAATTACGTAGCAAGAACCCTGTAAAATTTAAACCCTTTAACTTAAAAATGTCTCTTCTTGAAGCCTGTTTTCAGGAAATAATCAGAGGCAAAGATGTATATACAAAGATATTTTAAGCAGCTGACTTTATACCCAAATAATAGGGACTAGCATCCTGAGGTAATCTTTATACTTTTCTGCATTTTTCATTTCTCTAGATTTTTATTAAAAAAAACACTACTATAAAGTTTTTAACCTTCAGAAAGCTACTAGAATTTTCTGGATTATGGCGAGCAATTATGACCAAACATATTAGATGCCAAGGTATTGGCCTGGTGGTTAACTGGACTGACTTCAGTATTGTAATTATGTAGCTAACCATAAACATGAAGGAATTCAAATCACGTCCTTGCTACATACAGAATGCATGATAACCCTATGAATAATTAGCACTATGATGTCAAGGCTTAGAGCTTTTTGTATTTATTAACAGTAAGGTGCAGGCGATTCTCTATAGCACACTTTACATTAATTAGCTCTGGCCACCGAAACCCTGCCATAAGCCCTCTCTTTGTATAACAACGTGACGAAGCAAGATGAGTCTACACTGACCGCAAATGAGATCACCGATCGGCAGAACAAGTTTGTTAGCATCGAAAAGGAAAAAAATTGCATATTGCTTTTTAAAGTAGCCCCTGCTAATTTAGAAAGCAATCTGATAAGTAGTTCCAATAGAACATCTGCACGAAACAAGAAGAAAACACAGAACCAACGAACAAATAAGAAAGGGGAATCAACGGATGACAGAGTGACAGAAACTACCTAGCCTTTCTTTAATCATTTAAAAATTTGATTCATTTAATTCTATATAAATGTATTATCTCCAAATTTTGCACTGGTAAAAATAAAAAAAAAAAACAGGACACATGCTGTTGCAAATTTTTATAGAGGTCTTTTCCCAAATTACTAGCTACTACCTGTGCAAAGAAACAGTTCTTAGAATAATGCAAGTTTTTTTTGTTTTGTTTTGTTTTTTTCTTTTTTTTTTTTGAGCTGGAGTCTCACCCTGTCGCCCAGACTGGAGTGCAGTGGCTGCTCCCGGCCACCGCAGCCTCGACTTGCTGGTCTCCGGCGATCCTTCTGCCTCAGCCTTCCAAGTAGCTGGAACTACAGGTGCGCGCTACCACACCCGGCTAATTTTTTGATTTACTGTAGAGATGAGGTCTCCCCAAGTTGCCCAGGCGAGTCACGAACCCGCAGGCTCAGGCAATCCACTCACCTCAGCCCAAAGGCACGGGATTACAGGCTGAGCCACCGAGCCCAGCTAGAATAATGCAAGCTTTAAAAAATCCCAAACATATCCACTGGCCTTATCTACAAATACCTTAGAACACAGAATAAATAACTAAAGACACATGCTGCTTTTCTCATCTGGAATAAACCCCCCCATCCTATCTCATTTATGAAACACTTAATGAGCAATCCAACATTACATACATATCTCCCTCCTACATAACGAATTAAAGGTACTCACTGGACATTCTATCATCACTATTACTTAAATTTTTGTGTATTTCACCTTCCCAACCACATTACTGGCAGCTGGGACTCAATGTTACTTAATACATTTTATATTTAACTTATTGATCAACCATCTCCTACCACACCTGGACAGACATAGGGTATATGAAAAACTTTGTTTTATTCATAGCTGTAACCTCAGCACTGCTATATAGCCTAGCCTAAAATGGCTGCTCGATAAATATTTTTTGAATGAATTCATACTTGTTGACCGAATTACAAAATAATTTGACAGATGAAAGCTATGTAAGCAAATGACAAATAATTAAAACTATGAGTGCAAAAATGCTACTAGTTCAAGAGTAATTTACCAATCAGATTCTTTAAATTGGTGATGTGGTTTACAATGCCTGTTCTCTTGTGTACTACTGTGAGATCTTCTCTTCCGTTTGTGACTTCCACAGTAGCTTTCATGCCCCCAGCTTTCTCTGCTATCCCAATCAGGGCAGTGAGTTCGTTTGGAATGCCGCATCTGTTTACAGAAACAAAAAGGGAATTGTGGAAGTTACAAATAGTTAGGTCTAGTAAATATCATAATTAATATTATTCAAATATAAATAGCCAGTACATGGGTTCAGAGGTTCTAAAACATTTTTGGGTGATATTTTCCAAGGCATGGGGGCACTTATTCTATATACCACATCTGACTGGTGTGTCAGATGACTATTATATGGCATAGAAACCTAGGACTAAATGAAGGATAACATTGATATTTCCTCTCAATCCTGATTATATCTAAGACAAATTCTCAGCTTGGTTCATATCTTCAACAAAAACTTGCTAACTGCCCTTTAAAAAAATCTAAAAATCTAATAATTAAAAAAAAAAAAGCCAAGCTCGGTGGCTCAGGCTGTAAACCCAGCATTTTGGGCAGGCCAAGGCAAGTGGACTGCCTGAGCAAGCAGGTTCAAGACCAGCCCAGGCAACTTGGTGAGACCTCATCTCTACAATAAGTAAAAAATTAGCTGGGCATGGCAACGCACGACTGTAGTTTCAGCTATCTGAAAGGCTGACAAAGAAAGATCACCGGCCCAGCAGGTGGATGCCAGGATGACCGCGAATGTGACACGGCACTCTAGCCTGGCCTATGACTCCAACTCAAAAATAATAATAATAATAATAAAAAAGCTAATAAAAAGGTTCAGGCTGATAGCTTCCAGTAGAGTATCTAACTAAAAGTTAATAATTTTGTTTTATTTTTATTACCTTCTATTTGTTAGTGATTTTCTAATTAAGTTATAGACACAATTTCTTTTAAGAATGCTAACGTTGGCCGGGCACAGTGACTCAATCCTGTAATTCCAGCACTTTGGGGGGCTGAGGTGAGAGGACTGTCTGAGCCCACAGGTTCAAGACCAGCCTAGGCAACTTGGCAAGACCTCTCCTCTACGATAAACCAAAAAATTAGCCAGGCATGGTAGTGTGTGCATGTAGTTCTGGCTACTTGAAAGGCTGAGGCAGAAGGATTGCCTGAGCCCAGCAGGTTGATGCTGGGGTGGCTGTGAGCGTGCCACTGCACTCTAGCCTGGGCAACAAAGTGAGACTCCAACTCAAA